CAGATAATACCCCCACCAAAAAAACCCTAATCCCCCTCAATTCCTTCCCCCAACCAAAAAAAAAAATCCACACACACTTAAGGCCTAATAACCCAAAATTTCTGAAGTATTTCAAATAATGGAAATAAGCCAAATCCATGAGCTTCTATCAAGAAGTTGATTTAGTTAGACAGAGGGTACATCTCATTAGCAATAAAAGAAGAAAACCCCTTCATTGTATTTAATAATCAATGAAGAATAAATCCCTTTTTCTAGAGAGAAGCACAAGTTGACTGAAACCAATTAAAAAGTTACCAGCCTTAAAGCACTCTCAGAACCTACAGTCCACCCTGCTGTTGAGCTAGAGGAATCAGTCCATGGTGGGATTTTAGACGCACGACATTTTAGGAGAAGGTAAACTGGAGCCTCCTTTCTACATTGAACAGCAGCACTAGGCTTCCAGTTTGATCTCTTCTCCAGCAGTGGGCAGAGACTGCAAGGGAATGGTGTGAATGACTTGCCCCTAAGGGAGGGGCTACTTCCCCATGCTCACCCCAAAACATTCAACATTTGTTTGTACTATGGAACATGAGCCTTCCATATCTGAAGCCAGGAGATGCTCTTGCTAGCCAAAGAGCATTAGTCCTTCCATGTTCTTGGTCTCTGCTACCTTGTTGCACTAATAGTGACAGCTGTGGAACTTTTGATCTGTTCTGAACTGCTGCATTTGTTCCACTGCTGTCCTTTTGTTACTGGGAAACAAAGACAGAAAATAAACCTTCCATCTAATGCTTTGCTTGCAGTCTTTGATCGCATACTGGTTTTGACCTATGCATTACGTGGACACTTTAGTATTGACCCACACTGAAGAGCTAGCCCCAGCATAACAATGGCTCCAGGACTAGACACATTTATACCTCCCCTTCATGAATAAGGGAATGTAGCTGGAACTAGTTAGAAGATAGGTTAAATTAGAAACACCAAGGAAGGAGCAACTTGGCCCACAGGAGCCTTCATTTGTTGTGCAAAGGACCAACCAACTTGGAGTCATTCTCCAATTTGGGCCTCAGAAGCACAAGAAATGCAGTCTGCCTTGCTAAGTTAGAGCTAGGATTCCTGCCCAGTGAGATTCCCGATTTCTTTGCATCCCAGGCATGCCTTGAGATAGCTCCTCCTCCTCTGGGTGCAGTTTCTGAGGCCACATCTTACCATGGAGCAGGCTCACTAAGGTATTTCTAGGTTTGGAACATGCAAGCAGGGCATCTCTGCTGGGACATGCTGCAGTGTAAGCACATTACTGGGAGCTTCCGACATGGCTCTTGAAGAGGGATAGCAGGATCCCAAGGCTCTGGAGACAAGTCACTTATTCAGGTGCTGGGGCAAGAGGAATGATGCTACAAAAAGTTAACTAGGTCACATGTTGGCAGCTGACTGGCAAGGATCTGGCTACTTGACCAAGTAGTTTATTTCATGGAAAAGCAGGTTCACCCCCACCCCTCTTGCTTGGTTATAGAAGTACGCATCTAGCTTTCAAAGCATCCCTGCCCTATCCTCAGCTGGAAAGAGGATGGTCATGACTCCCAGCACAGTTAGCTTTTAGGATATTGTTGCAGATGGGAGAACTCCAGGTAGTAACATCTAGCGTCATAAGTGTCTTTCCTGAAAGACAGAACAGTTCTAGTTCTCACCATTCAGGGCCTTCTGGAACAAACTCATCTTTGTAGACAATTTAGTGGCATTCTGCAGACCAGGATCTGTGGCACTAGAAATTGCTGTAGTGGCATAAGAGGAGCCATTCCATTGTGTGGATACCAGCTCCCAGGTAACTAGAGAAGAGAGCACATTTGGTTATTTCCTTGACCCAGACAGGAAATTCTCTGCAAGTAGTTATCAAGCTACCTCTCCCCTTCAAAGGCATGTTAACCATCCTCACTCTGCCCAGTGGGGAGAGACCAAGCATAGAGAAGCCTTGAAGGCACTCAATTTCTAGATTCTTGGGGTAGACAATGCACGATCATGGCAGAGCAAAGCATTGTAGCCCAAGTTCAAGTTATCACATAAGAGGGAGGTAGTCACACAAGCTTTAACTGTAAGAGGGGAAATTTTCTGTACAGTAGGCAGACAGACTGTAGTCTGGGTAGATCTGTAGCTATGCTATGGGTTAAGTGTGGCCTTTGTGGGCATGCAGCCACCAAGAACAACATTCCCCCCCCCACCCCCAAGAGCCAGCTTATTGAACAGTCACAATAATAGCCTTAAGGAAGAAGCAAGCAGAGAACGCTAGAGTCAGGTCAAGTCATGGTTTTGTTGAAAAGTTTCATAGTAGGTGGTTTTTCTGGAGTCACATGGCTGAAAGAAGTCTCAACTTCTGCTTAGAGATAGTTTGTAGCCCTCACAGTTGCCAAGAAAAATATTGGAGTCTTGTTCCAGGCACACCAGAAGCTAAACAAAGCAACTTCAGAATTGGTTATTTTAGGTTATTAGATCAGGCTCATGAATAGCCAAAGCAGGTAGACAATACCAGAAGCAAGCTCTACCCTTAGTCTTCCCCTCCCCTCCCCACTCCCCCCCAGTCTTCAGGGAGATCCCTTCAAGAAAACACTGGATTGTGCAGTATGCCGTCTTGCTGCTGTGCCTCATACTACTATATACAAACTGGCCTTTAGGTCATAATATTTCTTTAGCATCAGAATTCTAGCACATGGTCACTTGAGACACTGAATAAATCCACCCGTTTTTCATCATCTTAGCCACCTAATACAATGTAGATCTCATAGTACATCATCTCAGTGTGTAAGAGCTACCTATGGAGGAAGTGGTTTCTCCCAGCACCTTTAAACAGCAGGATATAGTAGTTCCTGCTCTGCCAGCCTTATAGGAAGGTCCTTGTGGAAGTACTGCCCCAGATACCCACTCATAGACCCAACCCTTATCCCACGTAGGGCATTAACTTAGACTGCAAGCAATGTAAAGTGCCCAAAATGAGGCACATTTTTAGAGGGCACACTACACATTAGAGATTACAGGCTTTATGACTCATTGTATTAGACAGACAGCCCTAGCAGTTCCATTCCACAGAAGTGTTGAAGGTTAAACTGAATCTCGTCCAAGAGACTACATAGAGCAAAAGCATTCTTGACAGTTTCCAGTCAGATTAATTAAGCAAAGAGTAAGTTTCCCCATCAGACAGAAGAGTCCAGACAGGGAGTGTCAGAGGCAGACAAGGAACAAAAGCAAGTATGCACAGCTAGGACAATGATTAATCTTTACCACAAAAACCCCACAGCATCAGACAAGAACTGATCCATACAAAAGATAACAAGCAAATATCCAAACACCATTTTAAACAACTTCTAGTAGCAGTCTAATACCCCAAAAACATGGGTACAAGCTACAACTTACCAGGCACCCCAAGCACTGCTACCCAGAGGCTAGCCAACAGGACAACTCCACAAAAACCCATTCTAGAAAACAGAAAAGTCAGAGTTACATTGGCCAAACCCCTTTAAATAAGCCTCACAGCAGGCCTGGCAAGAGTAAACAAGACCCACCTGAGCCTGTTTCAGCCCAAGCGCTCTGCCTCTTCATTGGGCAGCTTACCTAGATAAGCACCTGGGGGAGCTCATACAGGTTTCCTGTGAGACTGGGCACACCTGCAAGTTTTGCTGTGACCAAGGTGGTGCATGGGTATGTTTGTAGGCTCATCTGCTAGTGATTTCATCTTTACCTAGAAATGGGCCCCACTAGCACCACTGCAGAAATAAGGGCTATAGAAGCAAAACCTTTAGTGGAGCACAGCCTTCAGAGCATGAGGATTCAGGGATATAGTAATGTGCTGAGGGGAGTTTTCCCCTTCCAGTTAGCTGACAAATGCTTAGTAATTATGCTTGTGTCCAGCCCTGCTTTCAGATTGCTCTGACCTAGATTCTGTCTTGCCCATTGGGGTTCCTGAGTCTCTTGCTTCCAGCAGAGCTGCATATTGTCTAAGGGTAACCAGCTGTTCAGTGACAGAGTTCTGGATTACTCAAGTACCCAGATGCTACCACCTGCTGAGACGGGCTCCATGGTGCTAGGAGCCACATGGGAAGAGACGGTCCCTACCATGGTGGTGATGCCACTCTACAGATGGAACAATGGGGAAAGGGAAAACAATGGGTGGCCTTCAAATCTCAGGAAAGGTCTGGATCAGGCTCAGGGAGAAGGTTTGGGGTCTCTCTCATTAGAACTGTTCATTCCTGTTAATTTCCCTTCTGTCCATCCTCTGATGGTGGCCCAAACAAGTGTCTCATGCAAAAAAAAAGCCAGTTCACAATGAAAATATAAGTGGTCTCATCAAAGTGCTCTTGTCTCTTGGCCCATCCAGCCTGTGAGGTCCTGGCAATCTCTGGAACTCCTGGCAATGGGTTTCTTTCACCTGGTCTGTCCACTGATCTAGGCCCCACTGGAACAAAGCCCTCTATATCCCAGAATGATGCCTCTCCAACTTGGTAGCCCACATCCCTCTGTGGTAAGTGAGTTGCTGCAGAATGTGATGGTGGTTGCTCAAGAGCAACCTCCACTTGAGTCTTTACCTCCTGTTTCTTTCTTACTGCAACAGCTGGTCACTGACTACTCGGGACCAGGTAGATCCAAACTTGGAGACAGGGATTAAAGGAGAGAGCAGCCCAAGCTAAGTACAAGATACACCATGGTAGGAGAGATACCTGGAAGGAAAATCTATGTTCTTTCTTGCTGAATGGTCAAGATAGCCGAGGGGGCGGGGGGGAACAATAAGGAGCCACACGCAGCAAATTTAAGTAGGGGGGTATATTGTTTAATCATTCATGTAACAGCACAGTGGCCCAAGTATTCTCTACCCTCCAGAAGTAACAATGGGAGAGAGATTTCCTCAGCAGAAATTATATGTATGTGCATTTGTAGCATGGTTGCGAGCAAGTGGGACAGGAAGGCGCTGGGATTTTTTGGCACACTCCCATGGAGCAAATGGGTGTATGCTTCATCTTGATGCTTCTTACTGACCTCACTGCCCCCAACTCCACTGCTGGATCATGAACCATATGGCTAGTACTCACCTCCCCCTACACTGTGGCTGCCCACTGCTGTGCCAATTGTGTGTGTCAGGGTTTTGTTTACAACAGGTTTTTACACTGTGCCCATCACCAAAGCAGCTGAGCATCTCTGAAGAATGTTCTTTCTTGTTGGCAAGAAGTGTGTTGACTTCCCATATGACCTCATCCCATTTCATCCACCCACAGAGGTCTCAGTATGAGGGACTTGCGTCCTTTTGGAGAGAAAGCCTATGCTTCTCTCCCCACAGCTACTCAGCTCCCCTTCCCTCTGGTGAAGGGAGGAACCAAGAAGAGCTCAGGCAAATAAGCCTTCTTGGCTGCCCTTTAACCAACAGTCACTTGATGTCCTCTTGTTCAGTCCACTGAAAGCAATGCCATTCTCTTTTACAACCCAAACTCAGCGGTCATACACTCATTCAGCTTTATAGACAGACAAGGTTATTTGGGTAAATATGGTATCTTTTATTAGGCTAACTGAATAGTTGGAAAAATAATTCTTTGCAAGCTTTCAGGCACAAGCACCTTTCTTCAGGCATAGGGAGAGTCTGCTGGTCTTACCTTCTCTCTAGGGTAAAATAAGAGCTTAAGCCAATATGCAAAATACAGGTCTGTGAAAATGCAAATGTACAGCAGGGAAGATCAAAGGGGATAGGAGTTAATGGGTGTGAGACGGGTAGGTGGAGGAAAAAAAAAAACAGAGAAGGGAATGTTAACAGGTGATAAAATGTAGCTGGGAAATTGTAGAGAGGTTATGCGGGGATATTGTTCATGCGCTTTATTAACACAACCTGTTCTGGTGATGTCTGTTTAGCTCCTGCTCATTTACCAGGGTATGGAACAACCATAGCATGGGCAGAAGTGTATTTAAAATAAGGACTTTTATCTCCAATGAGAAGAGAGTACTGGTGAGTCCAGATGGTGTCCTCTTTTCCAGGCACCTCCCACCATCTCCATGTCGAAGCCTGGGTGGTTGTCCTCATTTCATTTGGCAGTTGCTGTTTAAGCTGTGCAATTCTCCGGCCAGGGAAGTCTTCCTTAGAACAGCTAGAGGTACAGATTTTTTTGCATAGAAGACCCTTGGACACCAGTTTCACAAATACCATACATGTAAATTTAACCAACATTTTGTTTTGGAATAAACCACTTCCTAAACTATGAGATGTTTACTATTGAACTTTTCAAAATAAAACATTTAGGTTTTAGGCTTGAAATAAATTTACTTTTCAAAATTCCCATTAACATTATTTTTAAATGACTCTATGTGACAGGGCGATCCAGTGCCCAGCCAGGTTTCATATCCTGGGGGTCTTTAAGGAGGCTAGATGAACACCTTGCCTGGGTCGTTTAACCCCAGTACTTTTTCCTGCCGTGGCAGGGGGTTGGACTTGATGATCTGCTCAGTCCCTTCCGACCTGACCAACTACGAAGCAAGCTTATGTATTCAGCATTAAAGCATTTCAGAGAAAAATCTCTCAATATGACAGAGCTTAGAAGCTGTTTGCTTAAATATTTATTTCCTGTTTTGATTAGCATGCATAGGGCCCACATATTATATGTAAAACAAGACAACAAGAAATAACAACAAGAAATTGTTTTTTAGATATATAGGGAGTAAAAGGAAGGCTCAGGGAAGAATAGGACCCCTGCTAAATGGGCAGAAACAATTGGTGACGGACAGAGGGGACAAGGCTGAACTCCTCAATGAGTTCTTTGCCTCAGTGTTCCTAAACGAGGGGCACAACAAGTCTCTCACTGGGGTTGTAGAGAGACAGCAGCAAGGCGCCAGACTTCCATGCATAGACCCTGAGATGGTGCAGAGTCACTTGGAAGAACTGGATGCCTTTAAGTCGGCAGGCCCGGATGAGCTCCATCCGAAGGTGCTGAAGGCACTGGCCGACATCATTGCAGAGCCACTGGCAGGAATATTCGAACGCTCGTGGCGCACGAGCCAAGTCCCGGAGGACTGGAAAAGGGCCAAAGTGGTCCCCATTTTCAAAAAGGGGAGGAAGGAGAACCCGGGCAACTATAGGCCAGTCAGTCTCACCTCCATCCTTGGCAAAGTCTTTGAAAAAATTATCAAGGCTCACATTTGTGAGAGCCCGGCAGGACAAATTATGCTGAGGGGAAACCAGCATGGGTTCGTGGCAGGCAGATCATGCCTTACCAATCTAGTCTCTTTTTATGATCAGGTTACGAAACGCCTGGACACAGGAGGAAGGGTGGATGTCGTATACTTAGACTTCAGGAAGGCCTTCA